ACTGTAATCGATTTTTCATTTTACAGGAGTCTAGACTGCACCGGCCGAGGGAAACGAATTACGACGTCGAGACGTCGCGTCAGATGTACACAAAATACCTCACAAAATACCTAACAGTACCTAAATTATCTTGAATTTATTTCCACTAAATCTACTACTACCTACTTTAGATTAAAAAAAGAAAAGTATTTGAATAATTCTTTTTGGCGTAAATATAAGTGTACCCATACGAGCATATGACAGAAAATGACCACTAAAACTATCAATAAATATGACATCCTGCAATACAAGCAATAGATTAATTAATTATTAAAAAATATGTTGCAATAAGAATAGAATCCCCTAGTGACAAATAAAAATAAGTGATTTACCCACTTATTCTGACTAGAGACTACATGCATGATGCATAATAGAACAGTTTTAGAATATACTGTAGATCATAAGAAAACTTTTCTACTTTCTATACTTTTTGTGGGCCCGGCTAAATAAAAAGAATTTTTGCGTAAGAAATTTATGCTAAATTAATTGACATGAAATAGACGTAGGGCGTTCATTAACAAGTGAGAATAAGGTACAAATTCTTTGAAATCGAAAAAGTTAATACTGGTTGGAAAAGCTGGAATATCGATTAGATGACATATTGATTAGCTAGAATATTCGAGATGAAAAAAGTATCCACGCACAAGGTCCCCAGAATGATTACCGATGCACAAAATTACAGCTATAACTTGGAAAAGACTATCGTCTCTAACTCTAAGAATTTTAAGGCGAATCGTTCCGCCGAAAAGCCTATCTATTCTGGGATAGTAAAGGGTTGGTCATGATAGAATATATCATATCGATCATGGAGCTACTGTTACGGCTCTTTATATGCAGAACAAACAAGAGAATGCCCCGGCTCACAGGTCCGCCGTTGATATGGCTGCACTCAAGATGCTGGCTTCAAAGTACTTGAGCATCCTCCATATTCACCCGACCTAGCCTCAAATAACTTTTACCTATTTCCAAGGTCGAAGGAGACTCTGAGAGGACAGAGATTCGAAAATGATGCAATAATGTAAGAAATGAAAGCAGTAGTCTCTGCAGCACAGGATTTTTAGGTGACCAGGATGAAGAGATTTTTAAGAAAGGAATTTTAAGCTTAAAAAAAGATATTCCAAGTGTATTATGCTAAAAAGTGACTATATTGAAAATTCGTTGCAGCTCTCCGGCCAGGTGTTGCTCGTCACAGATCTCAGTAGACTATCTGTAAAAACTATATAATGCCTTTAAGACATTTCAAACCTTAGTCTCTCCTGTGACCGTGACTACCACCTGTAAAATATCTGAAGCGTCGAGAACCAAAAATCAAAATCCGAAAAAATAGTTTTAGTTAAAATAAAATAACATTTAATAAAAGTTACCGACAACTCATTCTCAGTTTTTATAGCATGCCCCTCGTACGAGACTTCTATCAACTAACCCATTAATAATGATATATTTATTAATATTTCAACCAACCTCTATTCCTATGAACGTAATAAATCAAAACATTTAATTGAGCACGTACTTCAAGCACAGTTGTTTTTTATGGATACTACTGAATTTATTATATACTGTTATATCTATGTACTGTAGATGTAATTTAGGTACATTACGCGTAGGTCGGTTTGCTGCTGGTGATTGTTTACGTACAACACACAGTGGCTCCTAAATGACTCACGCGCTATTTCAATAATAAAACATTTAAACGTTGCATTGTACCCCTCGAGGTTTTAATCTCATTGCTTATTAGTGTTTTCTATTCGTCCAATATTATTCTTTAGAAAAAATACTTCAAGTAAATTACCTACTTTTAAGTGACCGCCAAATTGTTCCGGTCTTTCTGCTCCGGAAATGAACTAGATTAACATATTATTATTGCTATTTTATTTTATTGTGATAATTTATGTTAATTTCCAATTTGAAACCTATCCTATTTTCATTTTTTTACGACAAAAAATAAATACCTACTATGATTCCTTCTGCGACTTGGCTGAGTCTGGTATAAAAATGTTACTCCAATGCCTCCTAAGCATAGCTGCATGATAGGAACTGGTATGAGTTTTTTTTTGATAATACTCCTTACATTTCGGCTGCAGCAGCCAAGGCTCATTTCATCTAATTAAGGCTAATCATCTACGCAGGAGATATTATAATTCACAAATGTGTGCACATACGAGTACACAAGCGCAATATCTATTCCTCTCACTTTTAATGTCTAGTGAGTCGATACCCACGAGAGAACAAACATAGAACCAGCAGCTTTACTGCCCTTCGAGGCACTGGCACGTAACATCGTCAACTGTGAATTTTTGATAGGATATTCCAACAATTTTATAATAAAAATTTGATAGGATATTCCAATAATTTAATAATATAAATTTTTTTATTAGATTATTAAGGAAATTTTGATATCGCTTATAGGCTGTTATGAGTATAGAATTTTCAGGGTTTCTTTTAACACGTTTGTGCATTTTGTCTCGGTTTCGTATGCATCTTACTAATCCTTTGGTCATCCAGGGCTTTATAACTCAGGTTTTGTTGTTTATACGTAAAATTTGAGTATGCTTACCTATAACTGTTTGGATAGTATCTATAAGTAGATCTGCGGCTATATTAGAATTCATTTCTAACAAAATAGGATTGAAATCCGTCTTTTCTATGTCCTTTTTAATAGCAGGATAATTATATCGTAAGACTGTAAATTAAACTTGACCCGACCAAGGACTAGTTCCAGGACCTCCGGATTTTATTACTGTAGTTACTGGACACACCGGTTCGTAGTTATTACTTTAGATATATGAAAATGATTAATTTCATTAATTACCTTTTAACTTAGTCGATAATCTATGCAATTATCGCAGCTCTCTCTGTAGCTTTACTTCTTACAATATACTTAATAATATTATGTTATACAGTAATACACCGATGATAGATCAAAGTAGGTAAGGTATGGCTAGTTTTACTGTCTTGCAACTGTTAAATTATTTTCCTCTCACCATATCTTATCTTTTATTAGTATGTATTTAAGTATGGCTATTTGGATTATTTCTCTTAACCCGTACACCATAAGCAAATAGATACTTATCATAAAATCCTCTCTCCACCTCTAAGTGTGCCAAGGTTAAATGGACATACATACATATGTAAATATCGTCTACATTGAGGTAATTCTAACTAGATTTAAAAAAAAAGTGGAACGTAGAATGTCCAGTGAAACAATGCTCTTAGTATCTCTATCAACTAAATAAATATAGAAATACGGTTTGTCAAAAAGCTAGGATTCAGAATTAGATAAAATAACAGGAAAGTTAGGATTTACAATTCAGTAAAGGAGAATAAAGAATCGTGTTTTGTTTTTTTTTGTTTTTTATTTTAGTAAACCTAAATTCAAATACCTTTGCAAGTACAAACCTTCAAGTGCTCTACCGGTTATGAGTTCTACCGGTGGTAGGACTCTGTCAAGTTAATATTAACTAACTAATATAGTTTAGTTAATTTTGCTAAATAATAATAAAATGTTTAAACATACAATGAAGAATACCAACAACTTTAGATTTCTAACTTATACTTAATAAACTAAATTGAAAATAAATAAACACTGTGAAAAAAAAAACAATACTTCAAAATATACTTATTGTTCGAGAAATTGAATTTTTTAACTTATTTTTAGTGTCAACGCTCGATGCTATGACGTCATACAGTCGCGCGCCCCGTACAGTGATTGTTGAAGCTCGCCAAAACTGCCGATATGTCCAATCCATGAATCCAAGTACAAAAAAAATTACAAAAAAACAAACCCAACTGCGTAAAAAGCAAACTAAAAAGATGAGAACAAGTTGACGAAGAAACATATTATTATACAAGATAGTATTAATAAACGTAGCAAGACTCGCATGGCACGCTACTTTTTTAGAGTTTTTTTTTTTTAGCGCGAGTGAAACCGCGGGTTCTGCTAGTGTTATTATATATCTATGATGATGATGATGATGTTCTCCTAGCCGATTCCGGCTACGGCGGCCAATTTCATTGAGATTGGCCAACTGCGCAGGAGATATTATAGTGCACAAGTGTACGCGCAGACACAAGTGCATCTATACTAATATTAAGAAAGTATATCTATACTAATATTATAAAGAGGTAAGGTTTGTGAGTTTGTGACGTTGTAAAGGGTAATCTCTGGATCTACTGAACCGATTTAGATGAAAGGTAAGAATATAATTTGAGACCCTGGGAAGGATATAGAATAGTTTTTATCCCAGAAATCATCCCTTAGAAGGGTGAAAGTGGAGATAAAAGTTTGTATTGGGAAGCAAGTTATGGACGAACCCGAGAGAAGCGAGGGTGAGTCGCTTGCTTATTATATAAATTATAATATCGACGATATGTATTATTATATATTATATATAGCTATTAGTTATATTTTTTTCTTTCAACACTGAACCTAGTGCCCTCTGCTGGTACACTAGAATACTAATTCACGTTCCAATTAGCATTAGCACACTTAGGCATTGTGCGCCAAAGTACGGCATTATGCTCTGTAATTGGAAAATAGGGAGGCTAGATGAATATTAATTTTGGATCACGGAAGATAAAATGTTTATATGTTTTTTTGGGACGGATACCTGATAAACGTAAAATTTTTATAATCTGTGTTATGCCTTGCTGTTATCTATGGACTATGGTGTTTATTTTTATTTGTCATCCATGGTGTTTATTATATTATCTATGTCTATAGTTCTATACCATGGATGCCAAATAAATTCTATTATCTATAGTTACTCCAGTTTATAACTATACTCTTTGAGTTACTCTATAGTTGCTGTCATGACCATAAGTCATAATTCATATCTGTTTAATAGAAATTATTTATATTTATTGATTATTGTGGTTGAACCATTACCCAGGGATTCAAAGATAATGTGGGTATAACACTAGATATTTAAAAATATCTAAGCATTTTTTATAACATCAACACAATGACATCATTTAACGAAAGACAAAAAAATTTGTTTAACCATCTAAAAGATGCAGAAGAACAATATAATTTCTCCAAATTTACCAAATGTACATCACAACCCGACTATGGAGTAATTGACAAAAAGACATATAAAAAAGTCAAACATGAAATGAAACAATTTCGTGGACGAGAGAGTATATTTAAACGTCCTGAAGCTAATATGCGTGAATGTTTACGATCCAAATCTGTACCTGATTATATTAAAAATCCGAAAAAATGGAAGTATTACTCTTTATCAGATGTAACTCCAGAACAGATGTCTGATAAAAGCAATACACAAACAGCTTTAGCATTCATACGTGAAATGGAGGAAAGAGAGATTAACCAAGATGATGATGAAGTTATTGATGAAACAGGTGCAATTTTCAAAAAACCGGTATTTAAAATATCAAAAACAATTAAAGATGTTAACAAAGAAGAACAGCAACCTGTTTTTAAAAGTAATAAAATTATTATGCCAGAATATGTAGTAGGAGTATCGGGAAAAAAAGGTACAAGCATAAGGAACACTATTAAGCAAGACAAAAATACAGAAGATGTTAAAAAAGCAGAACTTAAACTTAATCATCTATATGAAATTGAAGATGAAGAATCTACTTACATTAATTAACAATAATATAAAATTTGTTTTAAATTTGTTTATTCAATAAAAGATGAAAATTGTATAAATACAATGTTTCAAGTTGATGATAATTTAATGATGTAGGGCAGTGTTTTATACTCTTTGTGTGTCATAATAAATGTATGCATCTCAGTGCTACACCTACTCTTTCCCATTTTTTTAGTTCAGTTCACTCAGTAGTCTATTGGCTAGCATGAATGGCTGCAGAATATCAGGAGGTGCTGGTTATTGTGATTGCAGTCTCACTATGAAGGTAACTGGAATAGAGAATGCACTTGTTTTGGTGCACTATAATATTTCCTGTGTTGATGAGAATAGCTACCGCAGGAAAAATAAGTCAGGGCATTATGTTAGGTTTTTTTTTAATTTTTATTTGCCATCTTTAAGTTTCGGCCTAGCAGATAATTAGAATGTTATAATTTTAACAGTTTGTTATGTTAACTAAAAGTTGTGTCTTGAAAACCTTAATTTTGATACCCCATTTCATAGATTTGGAAAAAAAACCTATGAGATTCATATTATTAAGATGAGAAGTTGTTCATCAATTATAAGGGAACATAGCCATAGACATACATACTAGATAGGTCAAAAACATTACCCTACTTTTTGGGTTCATGCAGTGGGGTAAAAAATAAACTTATTTACCCATTTTCATTGGGTAAGTTACATATTCTTTACTTGCATAAAATACTAATATTGTAAATCGATACTTATAGTGCCATCTATTGATATATAATTGAATTAGTTTTTCTTTTTTTTTTATACTATTCTGAATTAGTGCTTGACTACGTTCCGCCTGACGGTAAGTGGTAATGCAGTCGTAGATGGTAAGTCGCACTAATTCAGTAGCCACCTACTCACTCTTGCCTTGAAGACACCCATTTTCTTTGTTACTGATGAGACCCTATGGTAGCACCTACAGAGTTTACATAATATGAAGAGAAAGAATTAAGAATAAATTTGTATAAGCCATTTTTTCGCAACTTAGGCAGTTCAGAATTTGACCAAATTTACTAATTTTTCTTCACATGGAGCATTAAGGTATCAATCACACAGCTTGATATACCTCCTGTTGATTTTCTTTTATATCCATTACATGTTACCATGGCGATACATCTATAGCAAAATCAAAATATCCTATTAAACATGTTGTTAGTTGAATTTCCAAAGATATAAACCAAAGAATTTGTAAAAGTAAAATATCATTTATTGCCTTAACATTGCGATACAATAGCTGATTCTGATTTAATTTCTAAGCTTTCTGTTGGCTGATTATCTGATTTTTCTGCTGAGAAAGCACTAAGGTCTCGCATCATAGAATAGGCATCTTCACCATCGGCATAATATTTCGGCTCAATTTCTAAGATTTTAAAGCCAAGAGAGTTGGTATACAGATTTAATGCAGCTCTATTGCTTTTCCTTACATGCAATGACACATATTTCGCCTGAAAAACATCAATAAATATTATTATTGTTATTATAAATTACATTAAAAAAAACCTAAACACAATTTAACAAAGACAAACATAACTTCATATAAATAAATATGATTTTTACTCAAAACAGCTGGATTTAAATTTTAAACACTACTCCCATCATAATATTTTATAAAATAATGTAGTACCTGAAAGCATTCGACCATTGCTAATGAAGCTTGATTCATAAGTTTTTGTGCAAGCCCAAGACGTCTGTGAGATCTCTTTACCGCAAGAGAAGTGATATGACCATGTCTATTGTCCTCACCATCTTCCTCCATTTTAGCAAGAACATATCCTACAAAATAATTGTATAGGTAAAAATTTGATAGAATTTTGAAGAATTTAATGCATGAGTCGTATTTTTTGTAATATATTCGACTAACCCACTATGTGACCTTTTTCATCTTCTGCAACATAACTAAGCTGAGGCCATGACAAGCCATGATAAAAATAGTATTTCATTTGATAGTTTTCAGGCAGGCATAATAAATTACAATGCTGCATATTCATCAAATCACTAGGACGTGCACAGCGAATATTCATTGTGAACGTTATTTTACTTCGGAGTTTAAAATTAAATGCGATATATTATTGGTGCTTAGTCACGTCTAGCTTTCCTGGCTTTTGGTTGTCGGGTTTCTGAAGGAGGAGGGGTATCTGACATACCCCCAAGAAGTTCTCGAACGAATCGAAATTTAGATAGACAACACTTCCAAACCACGTACCAACCTGAAACAAAGACATAAACAATCATTTAAAATCAAAAATCTACATTTAATCGTCTTTAAAATATATCATTATTATGGTCTACTTACAAAATAATACGAATGTTAAAACTAAAATTACACTACATATAAAGGTTAAGATAGCCAAAATCACTTCCTTCATAACTAGGTTTATACTAGTGTACTTGTGAAAAATAAACACCAGATTATTACGGAATGCATTTACCGGAAATATAATATAACAATATACTTAATATATTTTAAAACTTATAATTGGTTTTGTATAAATAAAACTAAAAAATTACACTAAAATGCGTGGTACGAAATTGATAAATTCCGCCATTTTGAACTTTTTAAATAATTATAACACTGGATCTAAGAACTCCGGAGATAGTTATTTAAAAATTAGATTAATTTCATATTACAAATATGATTAATTATACCTATTTCACGGTTTCATATATTTCTTCCAAAGCAGATAAAATTAATGTTTTTAGTTATAACCTAAATTTACGTTTTAATATTTGACATTTCATGATTCATGTCATATTTTTAATTATTGAAATAAAAAAAAAGTTATCGCTTAACCTTATGTATTTTTAAACTACAAGAATACATTTTAAAATAATACACAAAAAGTATACTTGTAGTTAGCAAACATAATTTATGAAAACTTTAAAACTTTATGCATACATATATTTTTACATATATATGCAATAATAAAACGTGTTATAGCCAGCACACACCAGTCCAACTAACCATCGAATTTTGTCTGCTTACCTTGGTGTGTAAGTTACGACTGATTTCACCTGCTCCGGTTATCTTATTGTTTTTAGTTATAACCTAAATTTACGTTTTAATATTTCACCACTAATGTCATATTTTTGAAAAATAAAAAAATATTCAGTCCCTATTCTTAAAACAGTGTCTGTATTTAAATAATACAACAACGCATTATGAAAAAAATACACAAAAATGTAACTTTAGTAAGCAAACATAATTTATGAACAATGTTAAAGTCCGCTTCTCTTCGTTTGTAAGCTACATCAGACTTGGGCTGCTCCAGATATTTATTTTATTTGGGAAACACACGGTATATTATAACATAAGTAGACACATAACAGATAAAATATGACAAAAACCAGCAAAGTTTCCATTAATTTAAACATACATGTACACATAGAGTAGACAACAAGAAATTTAGAAATACCTTAACTTACGGACGCTCAACTGGAAACAAATATAGCTCAAACATAAGTGTACATATGTACATAAATACATACTTGTTATTTGTTGTATAATAAAAATATAATTTTATATCAATAATATTAATATATGTAGAAAGTACTTTTGATATTATCTACTAAATGACCCATAGATATAGGTTCTGGCCCTGTCGCGTGTAGGACACAGCAGATTTTTATATAAATGCAGGCACACATTGGTCCAAGTGCTTGTTTTATTTGTCATCCATGCTTGCTTGTACCTTTAAAGTGTGAACAAATCGCTACTTAATCTGTGCTAACTTCTACGATCATGCATACCTAACTATTATCTAGTCTGTGACTCTGTGCTGTTTATGTACTTGTAGGCATTGAAAAACAATAACATTTAAATTTTATTTATTTTTATATTAACTTTAACTGTTTTCTATTTCAGTTCAGTTCATTTAGATAAACTTTGCCGAATTTCAATATTAGAAAAGTCTATAAGATATTTAATAGAAATTCTTTTTATTTAATATTCTTTATAATTCTGTTAACTTATTTCATTTAAACATTTTTCTAAAATCTATTATATGGTTGATATGGACGACGCAGAAAAGGATACTACATTATCGTATATTTCACAGTAAGTACGATACAACAGAGATTATAATTTGTTCATATATTGTGGAAATAAAAATATAATTAGCTCTAGGTACCTACTCTGTGTATAAGAGTACCTACCCTCTAAAACAATGTGAAGATTGAATATGTCTCAATAAATTGTGTGTTATTTAATTAATTACAGTAACCGAAGCCCTACATTTAGCAAAGAAGAAGTTAATGCTTTAGTTAATTTGATTGAAAAATATAAATATGTAGTTTTAAACAAATCTACAAAATCCACAACTAGTTATGCAAAGGAGGTGGCTTGGACTAAAATATCTAAAGAAATGAATAAGCAAGGTTTTAAATACACGAGAAGTGTTGATAGCTTAAAAACAAAATGGGAAAATTTAAAGAAAGAAGCAAGGAAAGCATCAAAAAATTTGTTAAATAGAAGCAGTAATGACTATAACGTCATTTGCCAGATAGTAACAATGATTAATGAAATGGAGACAACAAATGGTAGAACTGATATATCTCATAATCTACTACAAGAAATTAATAATGGTAATAAGTTTAATTATTTGTACATATAAATTATTTAATACTATTTATTAAAGGATATCTGATTTATAGATATAGAAGATGATGAAAATAATTCTTCAAAGCTCTTTGATGATAATGATGGAAAACTATCAGATGACTCTGAAGGTAAATTTATTAATGGATATTCATAGAATAAAAATATTTGGCTTTTCTACTGATAAAATATTTAATATCTACTTATTTGGTTGGTGATATTTGTGGGAGGTATGTCCACACTGTGTCCTGTACACATTATAGACCCAATGTTGATTTCAATCTGATAAAAAACTTTTCAGGGCATTTTATGGCACCCATCTTAATATACTTATTGCTTTCCAATCAATGTTTTTACTTTATATTAAATTAAGTACTTACTGTCTATACTTTATTTATAATAATATTATTACCATACAATTGATATAATTGTATTCCAGATCTTTTAAATTTTTTATGTTTTTTATTTGATTACTAGCGACTCACCCTCGCTCCGCTCTGTTCGTTCCTAGGTGATTAGATGATTTATAACCCAATTAAAATAAAACAAATATTGAATGTTAAGTGATGCTTACCACAATATATTAGTGAAAACTGCATCAAATCGATTAAGCCGTTTCTGAGATTAGCATGCACAAAAATTTTAAAAATAATTGTTTTGGGTTCTAGTGCGTAAATAAAGACGCCCGATGATAGTTTTTCTTAAATATCTTCCATGTATAGACGGCGATCAGTTACACTTTTATTATATTTATTGATTATATATATTTTGTATATAAATAATTTATTATTTCAGATGCTGATGAAAATCGAAGTTTAGAGTATGTATAATATTTACATAACATCTTGTTACAAACTTTTTGAACTTAGAAACTGTTACTATTTATATATGTTACATGAAATCAATATTTACTTTTGTAGATCCAACAGATCATTAAACTTTTCACCTCAGGAATGCAGTCTACTTTTAAAATGTATAAGAGATGAAAAAAAACACATATTTAGCAAAGAAACAACAGGGAAAGCCACTAACATAAAAAATAATGCATGGTCTAGAGTAAGATATCTTTTTATTTCATTATTTTGGGTTTATTAGATAGTACATGACGATATGTGTGACTTAAATGGTCTATTGTTGCAGGGAGTGAGTTAAGTAGACAAATTTAAGTCACTACTATTTTATAGCTCATGTGATATAAACATGCCATATTCGTAATCCTAAAATCTAATTTTGGTAGATTACCAGCAAAATCTAGGGTGGTCGGAACGTTGACGTCCAAAAATAAAATTTAGGTCCCTCGTATCGTAGGGTATCCGAATCACCCCCATGCATCATGTATGTTACGCGACTTTTCATAGTTTATGAGTTATGTTTTTTTTTCTGAATTTTTGGGAGTTTTCGACCTGACCAACTTAAAAATTTTCTAAAAAAAAAAGAAGACTTTGTCGAGATTTGTTATTTGCAATTAAATCTTCATACGTAGTACTTTTATGAATAAAATACCCAGATAACTGTGATGAAAATTATGAAAATGTTGGTCTTAAGTGATAAATTTACGTTTGGTCAATTATGACTTAAATTTTCAACTTTAAATAAAAAATCTCAACAGGTGACTTCCTGGTTCCTAAGTAGACTTAAGAATGCGCCAGACTATCTCAGCTTTAACACATACACTTTTTTTATTATTGTGCTGTTTATAATTTTTTTTTTTCATTTAAATTTGTCTTTCTACAGATTACATATGCCTATAACAAACTAAACCCGAATAAAAGAACTACAAAGGTTTTACGCACAAAATTCAACAATATGAAAAGACTGGCAAAAGGTGTTAACTTCCAAAATTATTTTCCAATAAATGGACATGAAAAACTAGAAGACGATAGTAGTAAGGTATTATTTATATTTAATCTTGTTGTATTATCACGAAAAAATCGAATACACACAATGTCAAATAAGAACTGGTAATAGTTAAGATGCCATATTATGTTTTTATTACCCGACTGCACCTGAAGGAGGGTTATTTTTTTCGAGTGTATGTATGTACATGTATATTGGTTTGGCACGCTCTGTATTCAAACGGCTTGACGGATTTTAGCTTAAGAGGTGTCGTTAGATTCGTCTTAATTTGAAAATGACACTGGGTGGTATATCAAAATTATAAAAATTAAAATGGCCGATTTTTTGCGTCATATCATTTCTTCAAAACTTTTTCCTCAAAACCTATCGAGTGGGGTATCAAAATAAAGGGTTTTATAAATGGCTTACAAAAATATAAAACTTATTTTTATATGTAATTTGGGATAAGAAATGCTAAAAAAGAACGATTAAAAATTATATTTAGAAAAATAAAAACCCCGAGTGCGTAAAAAGAGAACTAAAAAAATAAAAGAAAAGCTGACGAAGGAAAATAAGTATTATGTAGTCGGAGACATACCCACACGCATCTAGTATAAAATATGTATATATGTATGTTTCTTTTATTTCTGTAAATATTTTTTTTGCGCTTGTGATTATATTGATATCTGTATAAACCAACCCTTAAACTTTAAACTAAAACAATATTGTGGTATTTCATGATAATAATCAGTTTTTATTCATTTAACTTATACTTTCTGTCATAAAATATTATTTGAATAGCTCAAATATCAGTAATGCACCAGAAATAATATCATCACTAAATCTATACAGATAAATAAAATAGAAGTGTCTGTTATGTCAAAACAACAGTTTTTTACTAAATGCATATGAAATTATATATGGTACTTGTAAGAAAAAAATCAATTTTTAAAATTTTTGTCTGTTTGTTCCGGTTAATCTTTGAAACGGCTGGACTGATTTTGACGGGACTTTCACTGACAGATAGCTCATGTTATTAGGAGTAACTTGACCAATTTTATTGTAGAAAAAGAATTAGGGTTCAAAAAAATGTATACCCAGGGACGCACCCGAACGAAGCGATGGTAAATCGCTAGTAAAATAATTAACTATCATAGCTGGGTACCGTTAAATAAATAATTAACTTCGTTAATCGATAATCCGTTACTAAAAAAGTTAACTTCGTTAAACGTTAAAGCGTTACATTTCGGAAGATTCAACGCAAGTTAACAACGTTAGTTGTTAATCCATTAATACGTGGAATAAAATTGCATTTTTGCGCCGACGTGGCGCGGCGCGGTGCTTGGTACATAACAGGTACTGGATTAGCGATTAACGGACATGAGAAAATTTAACGGAAGTTAACGAGTCCGTTAAGATTTTTTTAATTGACTTTAAAGGTAATACGTTAGTCGAAATGTTAACTTCGTTAATTAACGATTAACGGATTAACGAGTTAATGCCCAACTGTGTAAACTATCTTATTATATATATATATATATATATATATATATATATATATATATATATATATATATATATATACACGTCTTTATATAAAATATATATAAATTTTTTAATATATATTTTTTGATATATATATTCAAATTGTGAATCTAAAACCATTCCCAGATCCCCCTGAACACACACAAAAAATTTCATCAAAATTGGTCCAGTCGTTTAGGAGGAGTTCAGTCACATACACACGCACACAAGAAATATATATATTAAGATATATATATATATATATATATATATATATATATATATATATATTCTTTTTTCCTTTTAGGATATTAATTTAGAACCCCAATTCGAATATAAAGTAGATATGGAGACAGACTATGAAAATGATAATGCTGATGAAGATTTCCATGATGGCCCTATAGATTCAAAAGAAAACAATCAAGAGCTGTCAGATCCACTTAGTTTAGTTTTAAATGGAGATTCTGGAATGGGTAAGAAACTAAATGTATTATTTCAAAAACTTTAGGAGTAGACTATGCATATTTTACAGTTTTCACTTCTAAAACTACTATGTATTTAGTATAGGGTGGTTGTTACGAAATAATTAAACACGCCCCAAAAAAAAACCTTCCTTTTAATGAAAAAATACGGAAAAAGTTTTGTTTATTTATTTTTTAAATAAAAATAACACGTTCATCGAGACGATCTTAAGTCATTTTTTGATAAATTCACTTTTGTATCTCGTAACGCATACGGATTTGAGAAAAAGTGATAGCAGCAATTTTGTAATTTTGTAGGAAATTAAATTCTCTACAAAAAAGTTCCTCTCCATTTCCTTCATAAAATTTATATTTGGAGGTATTCTCAATAATAAATTCATTAACTCATATGGAGTTAATATTTTAAGACCTACAAAGGTATTTCTTTTTAAATATAAACAATTACGTGACACTATAATAAATTCTAGATATTGTCGGTATTGTTGACAATAATCGGTTTACGTCATCAGTAAATACTATTTTTCAAAGACTTTCATAAAAAATGCTTCTATCAGTAATTTATCTAGTGTTATATACATTTTACAAAATTATCGACACTATCAAAATCTAATTTCTATAATTGATTTTTTTTTATATTTTAAAAACTAGTTTTTTTTTATTTATACCCTTTGAAGCCTGCAGTGTCCTGATCGGTATCGTATCGACAGAAGTGTGTATCGATGCATCTCTAGTATATATGACCTATCTCCCCCCCAACGTGCGTTCACCTTGTCGTGGTGGGGGGGCTCAGTAGTGTACTCGCGAAGCCAAGAAACGCACAGGGAGGTGGCCCGCTTCGGTGGGCGGTGGGAGGTGGCCTTCTTCGGAGGGTGGTGTACCATGCGGGTTGCTCCTGATACTTCTCTGATAGCAGAGTGGACCGTGGAGCAACCCCATGGTTGTTGTGGTCTGCTTCGGCAGACCTGCCGTCGGGGTGTCGTAGTTGAATGCGTAAGCGATCCTGCGACGCCCCATTAAGACGGGGGAAGGTTTTGTTGGGTTTTAGTGGGTAGTACTGGCTTTGCCGGTGAGTCCCACACTTCGTGCGTAAATGCATTTCCCAACGTTAAAATATATATATATATATATATATATATATATATATATATATATATATATATATATATATATATATATATGACCTATCTGTTCTTCTGTGTTTTAAAAGCATGTACCCAGAGAATACTGGTAAATACAGAATTTAAATGTTATTACAATAACATAAAAGCTATTATCCCGATTAAAAAAAGTTTTCATATAATATGATTGATTTATTATTATGTTCTGTACACTTTCAGTAAGTAATATATAATGTATTTTTTGTTTGATTACAGGTTCTATTAGTCATTTTGGTTCATACTGTCAAGAAAACAAAGAAGTTGTTAAATTAAAATTAGAATTATTAAAATATCAATTAGAAACTGCAAAAGTAAGTAATTAATATTTAAAATTTCGTATTATAACAAAGTTTACCAAATGAAAAGAAATAATGCGCTAGACAGCTCACCGCGAATGGGGTGACATCGAATGTCGATATTTTCGCTAAATTCTGTGTAGAAAAATTAAGTTTCACAATCTTATCGCTGTCTTTGTAAAGTAAGAAACGTAAAGCTATATATTTCTTTGTACTCATACGGCGATTCTTACAAGAATAAGGCGATAAAATGAGAAATGATTCGGTTATGGCTCAGTTCTTCCATTTCATGTACATACCTAACGCCTTATTTTTTTGTCTGTTAATGTAAATATCATATCAAGATTTCTTTTAAAAAAAGGCTTTTGATACAAAATCAGACGTTATATCAACAGCTAGAGAGAAAAAGAGTAGAAGAAGCGTTACAAGCGGAAAGTGCTGAGCGACAGTCCCGAGCAATAGAGGCGTCGCTCCAGCTGCGGGCCGCGCGCCTGCGCGTGGTGGCGGCGGAGGCGAGCCTGCCACCCGCGCACCCCGCGCTGCGCTACCCGGCGCGCGAGGCACTCGCGCAGCAGTACGCGGAGCAGGCCTGCCAGATAGCACTCGCTGATTTACCCGACCAATAAACCTCAAAATACCCGGTTTATCCCTCCGGCGCCAACCATGAGCAGAATACCCGAAAATAACACAAGTTTAGGGATATATATGGGACGCGGCCCCTGGCGGAGTGGGTGGTATTTTTGGATAGGGTAGGTGACAGGGAGCCCAAATATATAAAAAATATTTTAAGGAAACGTAGGAATAAAAAGTTATTGAGACTTAAAGTTACAACATTTCCATACATTTCGTTACCAACTGGCGGAGTGGGTGGTATTTTTGGATGGGGGAGGTGACAGAGAGTCAAAATATATAAAAAATATTATTAGGAAACGTTAGAGTAAAAAGTTATTGAGAGTTAAAGTTACAACATGTCTAATACATTTCCATACATTTCTTTACCTAACTATGTAATTACAAAAGATAAACATACCTTTAACGAATAGTAAACATCCTTTTTTATGTACAATACATATTTCCACCACAATTAAGGCTTTATTGTATTTATTTTTTTAATAATTTCACAACAGTACCTATTGTTAACAAAATGATCGTACATTTTGACAACTGTCAATTTCTGTTTTACATTACCGCCTAAATGACAACAGATTATATTAATACAATTTATAAACGTGAGTAGACTATTTTTAAAATCTAAGTGTATTATTTACTTTTGGTTTTTATTTTGCGACATCGTGGTTAGTTTAAGACATAGGTTATTTATTTATTATTCTTCATATCTTGGTTAGGTTATGTTAGAACAGTTACCACAACGCCATTATTATATGACTAGAAAACTATAAAATTCAAATTTCACGCAAAGTATAATTAAAAACACGACAAAACATAATCTGAAGATCATTTTGACAATTGAAAGTGACATTTTGATATTTCCAAGTGTCTAAATGCCAGTAATGTCTAAATAATGTATGGAAATGTTGTAACTTTAAGTCTTAATAACTTTTAACTCTTTTGTTTCCTCAAAATAATTTTTATATATTTGGACTCTATCACCTCCCCTATCCAAAAATACCACCCACTCCTCCAGAGGCCGCGTCCCATATACTTAACTGCAGCCCCGAAAATAGTTCTTTTAAGTAATTTATTCATGTTTTATAAAGAATAAAAGAAAATACTAATGTTAGAAAAAGAAGTCATTGTAATCAGTTCTCAATTAAATAGCTTTAAATTAATAAATCAAACATTAAAAAAAAAACTTAAAATATCAAATTAATCAGCTAAACTAAAATACTGGCTTTTATCCTCTCATAAATAAAATACAAATAGCAGTCAAAATAAGCCGCCATCAAAAATCGCCTAAAATTACCCGCTTTTTGGGTAATTTACCCGCCAATTGGCAGCGCTGACGCAGAGTGCGGACCGCCTCCCTCACAATTAAACATCCCTCATAATTAAATTTTTATGTTTGCTACTGTTATTGTTACTGTCCTTTTGTTTTTGAGAGTTCGAAAAACAGCCAGAAATTCTGAACTGCATTTTTTACAATACGTCTCATTGTAGTCTCAAAATGTAAATGTGTAGCTAGTTCATGCAACAAATATAACTGTCATGCAAATATAAATAAACTAGCATTGCCCGCGTGATGACCAAAATCTGATGACCAAAAACCAAATTCTTAGGTTTTACGCATTAGTATACTCTTACATTGCAGTTTTTGTATTTTTTCTCAAAAATGATATATTTTCCCGCGGTAAAAAGTATCCTATTCCTATATGTTGACCCGGATAACCAGCTATAACCATACCGAATTTCATCAAAATCCCTCCAGTGGTTTTTCTGTGATGCGGTAACAGACAGACGGACGAACATTCTAAAAACTATAGAGTCGGCCTTTGTATCGATAATGTTTATTTCAATATAATTTTCTAAAAAATATTTAATGTACAGATTCGACTTAGTTAGAATTTTATTATATGTATAGATGATCCATATCCATATTAATATTATTGTTATTTTGGGTAATAAATAATATAATTGAGCAAGATTTCTTCGATTTTTATTGATAACCTTTTAAGTTTTTATAAAACATATCAACTTCTCGGGAGACAGATGGCAGAATACAGATAACATATAACGCACCAAGCGGCAAGGAATAGAAACTTTTTAAATATCAAGCAAAGATATTAGATTATACATCTAAAATTTATCATTTAACAACTATAAATGTTTGTAATTATAATTGTTTGTAATTCTTTCACGTCGAAACGGAGAGACGGATTGACGTGATTTTTTGTATGGAGATAGTTGAAGGGCTGGAGAGTGAAATAGGCTTTTTATCGCGGGAGATTATCTTATTTCCACGGGACAACACTTTATAATACAAACCAAAAAAATATTTACGATCAGAATTACTTGAAACTTGGCATTAATGCTCTTCAATACAATTAAATAAATACGTGTTTTACCATTGTTCAAAATTCATCCCATAACGGGGTAAAACGGGATGAGTTTTAGCGCGAGCGAAGCCATAAGCAAGCGAAGATATAAGCAATATTGCAAAATACTAACCCGTGTCACGGTAATGTTATAACATGCATGTAATAAAATAAAAAGCATGATAACTATCTTATAGCGTATGATAATGTATATAACTTAAAAACTATTCGCACCCCTTTTTCCAAGATGGTGGCCGCGGGATAAAGGTTGCGACTTGCGACCCCACAAACATGGATTTAACTTTACACTAACCCCCTCTTGGCATAAAAAAAATTAAATTGCATCCTCCGACTTCTGCACGCCAAGCCCAAAAAAATGTAACATTTCGATGGAGTGCTTAGTACGGGTAACCCTTTTCTTTGAGATGTCGCTAGGGAAACTGATGAAAGTATGGATGTCTTAACGCTTTAACATATGAACTTTTTACATTATTGTCATTTTTCATCAGCCTGTAATATATATACTACCTATTACGTTGTCAATTAATTATTATCGTAATAAAGTTTGCTAAAATTATATGCCTTTGATATCATTTCATCACAAACCCATCAAAGGGCAAGTGACTGTGGGACTCTTTAACTCGCTTTACCCACAACGGTACTCGGCGCCTCATTCCGTGGAGCGTTGCAGGATTGCTGGTACGTGTATCCTTAACACGAGCTAATCCATTCCAACTTGACTGACTCGTATCCGTTGAGCCACTATAGCGTGTGAAAGGTCTGACTCAAAATAAAAAAAAAATCAAGTAAAATAATATACCAGTGAAAAATTTATTAGAGGCCACTTAAAAGATAACAACACCTCCAGACCAATCGGAATCCGTTTATTTTTAAAAGAAAAAAATATTGAATAAAACTGAAGTTCTATGATTTTAAAATGTTAGCAGGTATGGAATAACGATATACTGTGAGGTTCTATCGAAAAATGTTTTCTACAAAAGTTGTAAGTTTAGTAAAAATTCGAGATATTTGTAGAAAAACCCGTTTTTCAATTATTAATTTTTGCAATGTTTTTTGATTTCCATGAAACTAGGCGAATGAAATCTTCGAAATACATATAATAAATAAAAAAAAATTGAAATGTTTAGCCATTTCCGAGAAAAGTATGTTTTATGGTCTTGAGGCTGAAAATCGCTAGTTGGGGGTGATTTTCAGTCTCTCGAGACCATAAAACATACTTTTCTGTGATCTTGAAAACTTTGATGTTATTGTAAAAAGTGTTATTCATAAAAGTTATAGATTTTTACTAGACCTACAACTTTTGTAGAAAATATTTTTCGATAGAACGTCACACTAAGCCGGAAATTGAAAAAAAACTATTTTTCAACGCTTTGCGTCCCCCCAGTTCTCGGGGGTAGCTAGCCATCGGGGACATATTTCCTTATAGGTACACCTGCTAACATTTTAAAATCATAGAACTCCAGGTTTTCAATATTTTGTTCCCAAACCGGATTCCGATTGGACTACTCAGCATGTGCGAAGCTTGGCAGATAATTATAATTGACGTAGAATCTCACTTAAGATAAGAACGAATTCTTCCTATATAATTACTAATTGTTATATTATACTATACTAGCGACTCGCCCTCGCTTGGCTCGGGTTCGTTAAATTCAAATTCAAAATATTTTATTAAGCATTAAATTATTACAATTTTATACTGAACGTCATGAGTCTACTAGCAGTTCGGAAAGAAGCCTCAGACCTGAGAAGATCTGGCGAAAGAAATTTAGCGGGACTTTCGTTATCTTTTTTATAAAGTTAAGTTACAAATTACAATATTTCTATAAAGTTGAAGTAGCCTGGACGCGATCACTTCATTCCCAAGGCGTGCCATCTTCTTAAAATCATTTATTGTATAATAGCCTAAACTCTAGCTTGCTTCCCAATACAAACTTCTATCCCAATTTTCACTTCCTTAAGGGCTGATTTCCGGGATAAAAAGTATCCTATGCCCTTACCAGGGTCTCATACTATCTCCTTAACAAAATTCATCTAAATCGGGTTAGTAGATCCAGAGATTACCCCGTACAACGTCATAAACTCACAAACTTTACCTCTTTATAATATTAGTATAGATATAATTTGCAGACACTAGGTCTAGATAATTAAATCGTGACTTAATCGACGTAAGACTCCGAAGAAATCTTCACATGAAATGTAAAATCTTATAATATAATATAAATTAAAATATTTTAATGTACTTTCTAGATCCCACAATAACTTGTATATTACAATAATAAATCTAAACCAAACTTAGAAAAAAAAACAAAAAAAAAAAAATTAAGACATTAAAAACTCTTAAAACTAAGGATTATGTAAAAATTTAATTTTAACAAAAATTCCTTAAAATTCATTTTGGACGTAACGAAGATACGATGCATAAGAGATTAATTTGCAAGAGAAAATAAATATTTTGGGTGCATATTTAGCTGCCAAGGAAAATAATTTGGTTCGAATTTTGGAATCACACGGTGGTGGTCATAGTCAGTCTTTGAATTTAAGTAGTTATCTGTGTTTAGTCGTGATGGGAACTATGTTACTTTATCAAGTAGCGGGAAAACGCCCATTGGCACAGTTGCTAGAAGTTGCGGTTCCCCACACCAGAGCTGTCAGATCGTCGTGTGACTATAGTTCCTGATTGTGACCGCTGGAGTGGGTTGAGGTTTCGTTCGGAAGTCTGTGGAGTTGGTCTTTTTCAAAGTTGTCAATAAGTTCAAATTTCATATTGTTTTTTTTTTCTTTCGTGTCGATATACGTGTCGAAATAAATCGTAGCCGCGATTTATTTGCTGGCAACCCTACCCCACACGCGAACATTTGTGGATCTTAGTGATATATTGTATTATGTATAGGTATGCCAGGGTCTTATGTTATAGTGTTTTAAAATAAATTAATACTTATTTAAATTTGATCTACATATACGACATATCTAAATAAAACGGAAACTTTAAATACGAAAATTTGTATATTTTACTTGATTGCGTTTTACAAGATGATTAAATTATAATTTATTAATAATATTATTATTTTTAATATGCATTTGTACAATTTCATCTATACCTAACTAATCTACAACACCTAGGAAATATATTACACATTGCCAATATTCAACATGCTTTTTACATTGATATAACGTATCTACGGCCGACTAACATATTTATAAAATACAAAATATTGACACTTAGTTGACTAAAGTCCCACACAAATCTCTTTTGAGTCTTAGTATAGTGGAGCTTGACCTGCGACAGATGATATTGGCCGAACAAAAACGACATTCATAAATTGTGATAATTTACTAGCGTAGAACAAGTGAAATGAACATTTATTAGATTAAGTTGTGCCTCCTTAATAGCACAGTGCAAAAATCTATGTTGTAGGCGTTTGCCCATTGGCCATTGATTTAAACGTTCATGCTGTCAAATGTAAGGGTTGTCAAAAATACTATTTTTCATGGAGATTGGTTTTGTTCTTAATGTTACCTTTGTTAGATGCCTATATGGATTAGTCAACTGTGTTAAAACATACCTTTAAATCATCATGACATATCACCCATTTTAGAGTAATTCGCGCTTACATTAAGGTTTATTTATTTGCTATATAGATTTTTTAAACTGTCTCAAAAGTTGAAATATATTTTAGTACAAATCCTTGCTAATGTTTATTTGTTCGAATCTGCTCGCCTTCTACTTATATTTTGTAATCATACAAAATTTTTACGAGCACTAATAACATGAAATTTTACCTGTGGCGAGCACAATAAAGCAAACTGACATTAAGAACGCTAATGTTAGATAAAGATAGCTATAAAACACTATCTTTCTTATTTGTATATTTTAATAGCTGAACTCTGATTAAACTGTGCCTACAATAGTAATTATTTAATATTAAAGATACTTTTGCTTTAAATACTACACCAACAGGCTCACACACCTAAATGATGTTGAAGTCTTTTCCGATGTTTTAGTTCAACAAGTACATCATTCTTATAAATTGTCATCGAACCTTGACAGTGACATTCCTAATTTGAAAAACACAGCATTTGAAACAATTAAAGTATACATACTTTAATATAGATAAAAATAATTGAGCCAAACCACTAAATTTCAGATTCAAAAATGGTATTTTTATAAATGATCCAAACAATATTTTATAGTAAAATTATTATTAGTATTAACAGGAATTTTAAAGGAACATTTAAATTTAATTCTTGAAGATATATTTTTACTTTAAAAATTACAATAGACTAGGTACATACATCGAATCTAATTTTTTTTCGACTTAAAAAGGCATAGGTAAAACTGCAGTTAAAATTAAATTGTAAGAGTAGATACCTCAATCATATTTACAAGCAATCTACGAATATAATTTGTACCGTTTTACCGTACCGTTTTAAGTATACAACCATTTCCCGGCCTCGTGCCGTGTTACATTCACTCGCTACAATATATTATTGTTGCAACATTGTATAAAACTGGACGGACAACTCAACTCACTACAGTAAATGAGCATCCAGAAATTTAAATCTTACTCATCTGTTTATGCAAACCATTGTTAATAAAAATTAATGGCAGCTTTCGTTTTTATTTTAATTACAATAATAATAATAGATAAAATATAGAAACTGTATAGCGTATTCGTTTTTTATTGGCAGTCTCTATCGTTGTGCATATTGTTGTCTTTGGTCTTGTATTTCCGTTTGGAGGTATACCAGCCTCCATCATCCCAACAAAATCGAGTGCCCAGCACATTTACCTTTCAAAAAGTCCAAACCTTTTACATCTGGTCGTAATACTTAAGTACTATTCAAATAATACATCAATACCCAATACTATATCCTTGCAAGGGCGTTTAATTCTGCCAAGCGGTAAGGAACATGAACGCATCTACCTTAACCATCACAGTAACATTCTACACTTTATAATACGGGAAGCGACGGCGTGCCAATGTTGTGTGAAGCGAGGGGAGTTAGGGGGGTGAGCGGTGTACCGGAAGATGATGGCGGTACTGTAGTTGCCGGGGTGTCTTGTGGAGGTTCAGCGGCCCGGACTAGGGCTCTACGCAAGTCCTGAGCTCTCGCGGCAAGCGTTCGGGCGGACTCGGCCATGTCCGCCACGGCGTTGGCGCACGGGAACTGAAGAGCGGCTGTCTTTGTTTTTGCAACAGTCGCCGCCAGCGCGTCTGATAATGAATCGGAGCACCGGAGTATTTTTGCTTTTAGACCGGCGTGTTGGGCGCTCCTGAAAAATATTTAATAATTAATTGTTATTGAAATCAAAATAATTTTATCATTATTCTTTTTTAATATTTTGAAGGTGATGCATGGACTTTCTGCCTCTTTGTCTTTGGTTTAATAATTGATGTACTTAATTGGAATTCGATAGTAAGTGGTACATAAATCATAAGTTCACTAACAGACATGCGTAACAACTTAAATAAGTAGAGTTTTGTTTGAAAGCTCACTAACCTGTGTACCGTGTCGCCAACATGTACAATTCTATGAGCGCTCAGTACAACGAATTTGCCGTGGGCGAGGAAAACATCTGGAGGTTGTCCCATCTCAATGGTCCTGAGGAAGGCTTCCACTGCAGTTGATAGGTGGGCGCCGTATGTCGCAGTTTGAGCGGCATAGAAAGCTGCTAGTTGTCTGTCGTCTGGAGGCAGCCTCGTTGCTGCAGCGACTGCGCTTACCTTTAATATAAAATAGTTTTACCTAATGACCTAAACGATCCAAGACAACGAATAGTTTCTTATAATAAATACAATTAATAAGTAACTTTAGCTTAAATATGGTATTAAAATCATTTTAATTTTCTATATTTTTTCTATAAGATTCAACAATAAATGAAACTAACCTCCCCGGCGTGATCCGCATCTCGCACAAGTGCGTCAAAGGAAGCTCGCAATTTGTCAGGCAGCGCTGCACGAATCTCCGCATTCCGCCTGCCCACTGCAGTCCTGGACTCAAGCCTGACATAGTCGTACTCTTCGGTCCACTCATGTTCTGGTACAGCGGGCGATCGCCTGTATACAAAACATACCTATTTAGTGCTTAAGTAAAATTTAAACTATAATCGAGTTTCTGGCTTGTTACATTATTTAACAGATAATAATAAATAATCATTTAGATTTTTTTATTGATTATTATTTATCAAAAAGAAATATAATGTTATTATTTATTATATATATTCGTATTTGTTAATTAAAGTTTTAAATGGGAAATGAACTAACCTAAACAGAAGCGAGGCATTCCCATGTATGAATGAAGCAGCTCGTCTGACATCCTCGGTAAGGGATCGTGCACACGCCACTAGTTGGTCGAGCGCGTCCTGAGTGCCGTCTGTGGGCTCCCTGTCACGCTCGAGTCGTTCCGGCGCCCAGTCGCCTGCGTCCAACGCGCTAGTCGCTTCATGAGTTATGCGCTCTGCATCCTTTAAAGCCTTTACTAATGGCCGTAACTTTACTGCGATACCTGAAACATTATTATTTAATCTATCAAACTCTTTCTTATTTCCCCGTATAAAAATATCTTAGATTTAGATGCTAGTCATATACTGTATGTAGGTATGTGTAGACGCTTAAAACATTGTTTTATATCACTTAATGCATTCAGCAGAAAAAAGACTGACATTTATTTGACTGAAGAGGTAAATAACGATTAGTTTGTATGTAAGTATATGTCTGGGTGTTTGACCTTCACGATGCGTTTCATCGTTAGACGGTCTTGAAGTTTATAAGACAAATAGAATGAACTGGCTACGATTGGTAATAAAGTTTGCTAAAAGGTGGCGTTGCCTGTATACAGCGCTATAAAAGCAAAATTATTATTATGCCTTGAAGATTTATTAACAATTGTTTTAATTTTATTAACATAGTACCTTTATCTTGGGCATCATGAGCGTTAGCCAACGTAGCGTCCGCGAACACTGCAAGGTCGTGTAGAGCGGCTCGTAGGCGCGCGCCCGCCACGCGCACGTCCAGCACGCGCGGTCGCAGCGCCCCGCGCCGCCGCCACCCCGGCGACACGTACGACAGCAGCCGCGACACTGCCGCTGATGCTTCCTCCTGGAATAAAAGTTATCATAAAAACCCCAAATCATTATAAATACGAAAGTTTGTAGGTGTAAGTTTGTTACTGCTTCACGCTAAAATGTCTGGACGGATTTGCATGAAATTTAGTAGGTATATACCTACTAGATTATGACCTGGAGTAACAAATAGCACGTGACGCGAGCAATTCGAGGGTTAGTCGGTACTAATAAATAAAGAAGTATAATTCTAATTGGATATGCTCGTATTTTAAGATAGCAGTCATAAATATACATATATTTTTAAATAAGTTGTTTCACTCCTCCTTTTTTTTATTTTTTTAACAGCGCCATGCGTTGATAAGTTCTGTATTTCAATGAAAAGTGTTGTTGTGAAGTCATTTTTATTTAATTATTTTTTATTTATGTATTTATTTATTTATTTATTAGTTCAGGTCATAAAGGATTAAAAAATAACTAGACATTTGTACGTACTTGTAATCTTTCAAGAGCTTCCAACGCGGCGTCACAAGGTAAAGGTAGAGCGCGCGATCTTGGAACATCGTACGTGCTTGACGCAGAGGCTGAATGCGCGGAACTCCCGGAATTTGCGGATGCACTCGACGTGGCCGAAGTTAAGGAGCCCGTTCCACTGCAAGCAGAGTCCGCGCTAGCGGGGCGCGGCGCTCTGGGCGCATCGTACCAGTCCGCCGCCGGCCGCGGGCAGTCGTATGTACCAATGATGCGCTGCACCGGCAATGGCGCCCGAGGTACATCGTAGTGGGAACATTCTTCGATCTGCATATATAAAAAAATTATACTTTAATATATTTTCACATATTTCTCATCCAGTTCTCTGTATATTTTGTAATTTTTGCCGCAATTTAAATATTTTTGTATCTTCCGAGATTTTTTATTAAGGAAAAGTAATAAGGTCAAAGGACTAAACTTCCTGCTCAGTTAATTCTGTTTAAACTAAAAATGATGTCATACAATTGCAATGAAATACCGCGTAACATAAACTTTTACAGATATGGCCGCACATGAAATAAAAGTTAATTACAGAGCTGCGCTTACTTTTGTAAAAGCAGGGGACTGTTGCGCTGGGAGGGGCTGATGAGCTACGGGTGCGGGTGTGCGAGTGCGTCGCCTTTGCATTGCGGAGCTCGCATCGAAGACCCCGGCTACTATTCTCAGTCTGTTTCCCGGACATATTCCCTGAAAAATATTTACTTGTTATAGCAATAATTGTAACCTCTTTATTTAATTTAGGTCTATAAAAATATGAAAACTTCAAGGATTTTTTAAAACACATTATCTCTTTTCAATATTCTTAGTAATTTAATTATGTTGTTATATTAAGAGAACACGTCATAAGGACGCAAAACCGATGTACGATGACCTCAGAACGTACAACAAACAAGATTTTACATAAGAAGTGCAGTACGTCGCCACCTAAATGCATATTTTTGTAATATGTTCCACTATTTTACATACAAATTAAGAATTTAACCATTCTAGCGGCTAATTTAAATTTAAGACATACTTACCTATTCTAATTACATTACTAATTAGTTATACAATAATTTAAGTTGATCAATAAAATATATTGCGTAATAGTTTCTGAGATTTATGCCAATATTTGACATTTTAAATAAATTTATCTTTTCAGCTTTTTTTCGCGGATTTATTTTGATTGCGAAAAAATCCGAAAAGATAACTAGTTTTATTTAAAACGTATTGATTAATAAAATAAATTTTGTGTCCATAATACTTTCTTAGATTTACGCTTTCGCGTATATCGCTCATAATATTCATTTGACATTTTAAATAAAACTATCTTTTCGGATTATTTCGCGGATTTATTTTGATTTTTGGTTCCCGACGTTTCGAATGCTTTAAAGCAATCATGGTCACGGGAGAGACTAAGGTTATAGACGTCTCAAACACATACTTGTTACAGACTGTGCCCATCCACAATTTTACAAAACATGATGTTAAAAATTCAAAAATGACAATAAAGTACCTTACAATATTTGTCGATTTTTATTTCTAAACATTTTAAATCTTTTAAAAATTACTAATAATTATAAACATTTAACATTTTAAATCTTTTAATATATCATCCACATATTTTTTAGTAAGCCATGTTATTGTAAAGTATTAAAGAAGCAAGTTACCTGTCGTCCTCGCAAGGAACAGAGCCACCAGCCCTCGCTGCCTCCAGTGTTCTGCTCCAGCACTGTGAGCAGGTCGCCCCTGCGGAACGCCAGCTCGTCCGGTGACTCCGCTATGTTGTCGTATAGTGCTCGCGCCATACACTGCAACAATACAATACTCAAGTAAGTTCACGATCTAGTTAAATGACAGTTTTTCGATTCATGTCTGATTTAATAAAAAAATGAGAATTTAAAGACGTAATAATTACTAATAAAGTCCTAACCGATTACGTTTTCAGCGGCAAACCTCACTGAGATTAGACAGCTAAATGCGGAACAAATTATATAATACTACACAAGTGTGTACGCAGCCCCAAGTGCACTCTCTATTTCTCTAACACCCATATTCCGCTGGGACGACAACTCGATATGACCAGTGCACGAGGCACGGGGGTATACACACCACCTTCAAATTGTTTTAGGAACTGTCGGACAGACAGACCGACGGATTCGAACCCAGAATCGTCTAGGTTCGAGTCCGGGGTTGAGGTAAAACTGGTCTCACGATGTGCAGTCGTATATGCTAGTCTAGCTAGAGTCGAGACAAACAAAGTTAGCAGTCGAGATACTCAGAAAATTTTCGTTTATAAATCTAATCTTATACGATCAATTAATTTTATACAATGTGAATTTTTAAGATACAAAAAAAGTAAACAAAAAAAAATGTTATTTAGTAGTAATTAAAAATAATAATTAATACTTAAAACTATTTTTAAAACATTAAAAATCTTGATAATACTGTAGAGAAGAGCAGCGTAAAAAGTCTTTTAACTGCATTTTAATTTACAGTATACGGTAGTTAGCCACTTGTTCGTCTTTCAGTAATAAATCTTGATTCACCGATCGCTAAAGAAATCGTATGATGTACGTGTCTGCATTAACCTCATTGCAAACAAATTCTCGACTGTAAGTGGGTATGCCCAATCAGCACTAATTAACCAAAAATTTCCATCATCATTTTCTGTCACTATTAACATTATCTGTGATCATAATAAATATGATAAATGATAAAAAGTTTAAAGGGCAACTGCCCTTAATTTATAAACTGCTTTCGTTCAAACGTAAAAATCTGGAATGGGGGGCATAAAAACTTCATCATCAAGATAATAATTTGAATTTGATCTGTTGTAATGACTCATAACTAATGATTTATTTGTATTGTAAAAGTAACTACGTCTCAGTTATTATTAGAGAGCTGCTTATTAACATTTGACACCTTCGCGCCCACATAAGTTAGCGCATGTGGTACGCTAGGGTTGCACGTAAAGGGGCATATGGCAGCATTAATCCCCGAAACCCCGGTATTAAAGTATAATATTCTATTTAAATAATAAGAAATAGTTTTCATTATGTATTTTTTTAACAAATCCCTAGTAAAACTTTTGTCATTTTTATTGTACACACAATTTTACGTTTAACTGTAAACTCTACATTATCTTCAATAAGTCAAAGCAATATCACAGATCATCTTTAAAAGCTCTTATCTTTGAAAAATGTTTTACAATATAAATAAATGGCGAATATTTTATTTTAAATTACTAAGAGATGTCCTGTTGTCACCGAGCTGTCATCATAAATCCCGCATTACGGGATTGCATTTCGATAGCGTCCCGGGCGCAGCTGCGAGTTGCGACGGAACAGTGCGTCCCAAATGTACCGATAATGATGGATTGCATTGTGCAATCAATGCAACGCTGCGGCTGTGGGCGACGTTGGGGCAGGCCATGTCCGTTTCCGATCAACGCAATCGTTTATGCAACCGATATAACTTAACTGTCACAAAACAACGTTCACATTTAACACTGCACAGTGCACACTCAATGCGGGTGCTTTGTTGTATTGTTTTTAATTTAATGAGTTTTATGAAAGGGTTTAAAAACTCTTATTAAGTGTGATTTCATTTCATTATAAAATTCTCTTTTGTAAGGAAGGCTTAATATTTTATTGTTTATTTTTAAATATGATACAATACCTAAAACAAATATTAAATTAGGGTCTACTAACCGGGGGCGGTGTACCATGCGGGTTGCTCCTGGTACTTCTCTGATAGCAGAGTGGACCTTGGAGCAACCCCATGGTTGTGGTGGTCTGCTTCGGCAGACCTGCCGTCGGGGCGTCGTAGTTGAATGTTTTTGTTGGGTTTAGTGGGTAGTACTGGCTTTATTACGCCGGTGAGTCCCACACCTCGTGCGTAAATGCATTTCCCAACGTTAAAAAAAAGGGTCTACTAACCGGAGTATCTGATCCATTTTTTCCCACCGTGAGCAGCAGAGAATTTTTAATTTGAATATACTTAGAATTACATATATCACAATTTATCCGTCTCAAATTTCGCACTAAAGCCAGAAATGTCACTTTTTTCACCATTTTAGTTAAGTAACGTGTTTCATGAAGAGCTCGCAGTAAACTGAACTCGTAATAATGATAACAACAAGTTAAATATATGAACTTTCTGAGTCGAGAATATTAGAACCGGTCAGAGATGAGTCAGAGCAAAACAACAGCTGACGTCACAGGCGTACGTGATTTTGTTGCACCTTTATATAAAGATATTCGGAAACTTTAGGTCTAAGTAACTTCTGAAAACCCAGTTTGGTTTTTAGTCGCTTATGCATGGTCTTTTTCTATTTATGCAATTGCAAGATGTATTGCATCAATAAATATTTTTAGGTACTTAATTGAATTATGATTTCTCAGGACTAAAAGTGCTATGAATCTCTCTTTCTCTCTCTCTCTCTCTCTAATCTATCTAATCTAATCTCTCTAATCTCTGAATATTAACAAAATTAAAAAAAATAGTTTACCAAGCTAAAGAGGTATTCTTATTATAAGTTTATTATTCTAATACCTTCTTAAATTTCAAAAGTTAACGTATTTTTAATTCTTATATTTTTTTGGATTTTTTTTTATTTGTAAAAATTTTTTTTTGAAAATATACTTTATCATAGTTTTTTAACTTCTAATTATATATTTTTCAAATTTGTATAAATAATATATTGAAATAAAAGATTTCGCTCCTAAGTCTGAAGTAACCGATTTTAAAATTATACGAAATTTGGTATTACTGTTTAGTTGAAAAACTTTTTAACAAAAAAATAAAAACCGACTTCAAACAAAAGCACTAAAAAGTAAAAAATAACTGATTGGTAGTTTTCATTTACTATACATACCTAATCAAATATTTTCGAAGTCGGTCTTTGCTTTGTATGGGCTGGCACCGATTTCGAAAATATTTGATTAGGTATGTATTTAATAGGTAGGCTTTAATTACTTAGCCAAAGCACACCGACTTCGAAAATATTTGATTAGGTATGTATAGTAAATGAAAACTACCAATCAGTTATTTTTTACTTTTTAGTGCTTTTGTTTGAAGTCGGTTTTTATTTTTTTGTTAAAAAGTTTTTATTTTTCCCTTTTTACTGTAGACAGTAGTAGCATAGTAAGGATTCTAACGTGTTAGGCTTGTCAAATCAAACAAAATAAGTCCAAACTCAAAGTATCTACTAATAGCCGTTGAAGAGTTCCACCTATCCACCTTCTGGCCTTGCCATCAGATCAGGTCAACAACACCGAACCACTGTACTATCAACGGAAATAGAAATACTTGCAAAGTTTCAAGTCAATATGACAATTAGAAGTAGGTTAAATTCATCATTAGTTGTTTTTCCACCCTTAGGGGTGGTATTTTTTTTGAAATTTAAATGGGACCAATCTGGAAGTATACCCTTTCAAACAAAACAAAAATTGTCCAAATCGGTTAATAAATGACGGAGTTCTGAGGTAACAAACATAAAAAATAAAATAAAAAAAAACATACAGTCGAATTGAGAACCTCCTCCTTTTTGAAGTCGGTTGAAAATAATTATGGGTCACTTATTATTAAAAAAACAAGAGGAGCAGCACGTGAAGTATTTTTAAGTCTTAGAATTATCATAATTACCAGATACCATAGTACCACAAAGGGATGGATAAAAAGAAGTTTTTGTTAAAAAATTATTTAAAAAGTTCGTAACTTAAGGAAATTTTTATCAATTTGCGTTCAAAGCGAAACTTCCCTTGTGGACTGTGGTTAACTTGTTACGAAATTGGCTTAAGTCGGGGCAAAGTTATCTGACTTCATAAAACACAAAGGACACATCATAACTTAAATCTGGTTTTATTTCCATGAACTCATGATATATCGTCAGTATTAAAAATGTTTTGTTCTTATTACAAGAATGCATCAATTTGTATGTGACTTTTATAAAAAATACACCGGCGTACATAACTACTCATAGATGAATTTCGTCTTATAAATATTATGTTTCATATAATTATAATGTTTTTTTTTTTTATTTAAGAACTGTGTATGTACCTATCTAATGTTCAAGATCTAAATATTAAATTTTAAGAAATATAATATTGTCACGTAATATAAAAAATATCTTTTCATTAAATACTTGCACTACCAAAAACATGTTTATTCATTCTCTCAGTTATTTATTTATTTTATTCTAGAGAAATACATGGTTAGTGACATATTTTTCGCGTCACTTATATAATATTGTATATATATAAATAATTGATAGTTACCAACAAAATCATGCCTCACCCTCACACTTACTCACACTCATAAAAATAATAATTTTAAACCTCTAATCAATATTTAATCTATCTTCCATTTTTGGTATCATCTTTACAGGTACAATAAGGATGCTGCTTGGCGGATCTGAGTGAATCACGCAATCGCATCGCTATTCGCAGAATCGTCTCTACTTTAGTGTCTATACGTACCACACGCATTACGACGTACGCAGAGGCGGTCACCGACTCACTGTAGATAAGCTAAGCTAAGTATGAATGAGTGTTTGTTATTGTTTATACGTTCGCCTTTTATCCTCTCTTAGTATTGATTAATTAATTACCTACAATATAGGTATATAGTATATACTTACTGCCTCGTTGTTCTAGTGGCTAGTATGTGCGGCCGCAGATCTTGTGGTTCTAGATCCAAATCTTTTTAGGTTTTTATTGTATGTAGATGTAGTAAATCTATTTAAATAACCTCTAAAATTTGGAGATTATTCATCTCCAATGTGGTGACTAATTACAATCGGATGTGTATTTGGTAAACTTCCACATTATTCACGGCCATGGACTGACAGTCATACAGTTCACCACCAGTATCGTTTGAAGACTCTTTATTCATATTTTCTGAGAAAGTTCATCGGACTATACGTAGACCACAACCTTGTCAGACGAGATATGAGTCTGTCCTTGTTACTTCTTCTATTCGACGAAGAACTCTTAAATATTACAAGAGGAAAACAATTACGGGAGCGACAACTCTGCTTGTTTATAATAATGACGTTCATATATATAAACTTTATGAACGGATAGAGAAAATAAAAATAATAATAAAACCACAGTATTAATGTTTGTTTGCATTTGCGGTTTAAGCCTTGGATATGTACAATAATAAACTAAAATAAATCAAGAAGCTAAAGCTACAACTAGTTTAACTATAAATTATTCTAAAAACAACTTATAAAAGTAAATAAACCTCTAACATGTGGGCACTCTCTATTGTAAATGTAAATGTTATCTGGTGTTTCTATTTAAATATTTAAGACTAAGAGATAAATTAGGTAAAATACAAGGGAAGTAGGTATATACTCTTACTATGCGCGTATATCTTAATAATGAATTTATGTACGGCGTCTTAGCGCTGCTAACTTGTGTAAATTATATGCAGACACTGCTGATGTCAGATGCCATATTAAAACATTTTTAAAATATGATACAAGTTATGAAAACAATCTGAAATATCAATTTCCTTAAAAATATACAGAGTAAAAAGCGTAGATAACCGTCCAGACGATTGGGTAGTTTTCGCGCTTGAGTAATCTAACATATGGCGAGTCGAAAATCAATGAGGGATATTATAAGCCTGAATGGCGGGCGGCGACCTATGAAGGTCGTATCTAGTACGCGACCCCAAAGCGCGCATGTGCGTTAAATTTTTTGTAAAACATGGTTCAGTTTAACACTTTCCAAATTATTTATTTTAAATTTAATTACATGTTAAATTTTTTTATTCTATATTAATTTGTTTTTAGTCAATCAATCAAAACATTGCGAGTAAACAAAAATAACAGTGGGTTAATAATATTTTTATGTACAACAATAAGAGGTAAAAACAATCGTGATACATCATTTTTGCTTCGTATTGTTATTTTAGAGCGCGTGATTGGATAAAATTACCTGTACTATTAGACGTACATATTATATATGTACGTAACTAGTTATTTCCAAACACTATTATTAGGTAAACAACTATGTCATGTAGAAAATACCTATCTATAGTCTCAAAGTAAGCCGCTAGCCACAAGCCAGGTCAACTGTTTAATCTGCTCGTGCTCATACGCTGGAATACTTCAACCTATTATCTACTGATTTGTTAACCGATGCAAATACAACGACAAAGACAAACTAACGATTATGTCCATAAAGTGTAAACGAACAGTAAAGAAGTGTTTCATTTTTGATTTTGAATTATCAAATTCTTAACATGATTTTGCTAAATTATATACTATTCCCAAAGTAGAAAAATTAAAATACGTATTAAATACGAAAATTACAAAAGCTTACAACAAAACGTTTGAGTCAATATTCACAAGTTCCATTCATCGATACAATCGAAATTGTCTGTAAAATAAATAAATGTATCAGGAAGCGATTGAGCCCACTTAAAATAGTCGTAACCGCGCCGATGTTGTTCCAATAATGCGATGTTGAGTCGTCCGTCTGGCGCCTGCGTAGACCACAATTTTTTAAAGAAGTCCTTCGTATGTATTCAATGGAAACAGAAAAATATAATGACTAATAAGTTGACTATAATTGTAAATTACAACGTTACTTTAGTAAAATACTGAGTAATAATAATTTATTAATACGCATCAATTGCATATAAATTACTAATACATACATATATGTGTATTGGTACTTTAAAAAGCATATTAATACCAAAACGCGCAAATAAGAAACTGAATGCAAATAAAAATCCCTAAATAAAATTTGGATAACAAAGAAAAACGTCAAATGCTAACTAAATTCACTTTGCCTTCATATAAAAAATTAAGTATTTAAATTACGGTATCTTCCCATCATGTTAAAAGTAATCTAACATCTCAAAGTATCCTGCGTTAAATGAGAGCTATACTTGTAAATGCATGTCAACCTTAGTAGTAAAACCAAAGCATTTGAATATGCCTTTTGAAATAGCAATTCAGATTGCAAAGAAATGAAAGCGTCCTATGACACGAGGGCTCTACATAGCCGCCGAGTAAGAACGCAAAAACAGACACTTGTTGGGATCCAACGCGATA